CGCAAAAGGGGTAAAATTCCAATGCAAAACAACAGAAATTGGGAATAGAGCGTCAAGCGAAATGAACCATCCATAGCTATGCAAAAATGAAGCAAACAGGAAAAAAACTAGATAAACAATGATAGGTGAGTAGTCCTTGCATGAAGAGTTGCCCGGAAAATCCATTAATAATTGGACGAATTATTATGAAAAGTCGTCATCTCCACCACCTTCTACATCAAGGACATCAACTCTCAAGACTAATTCTTTGGTTTCTCGGGCAATTTCGAACGCGATAGGTGGTAGGCTTTGATTCCAAGCTCGCCATTCTGCATCGCCTTCGTCATCTTCTCTTCCCTCAATTGCAATTTCTCTGCCCTCTTCGCCTGCAGCCATGATTTTCTCTCTGCACGCAGAAAGTTTTGTCAAGACTGGTTGACATTGTGAGCGAAGAGCTGGATTGTTAATCATGGCTTCCTCAGTAGAAGCAACAACTTCACCAACGACACTGGCGATTGCGTCAATCTGAGTTGAAATAGCATTTATGCCGCCTTCTGAACGAATAGAAGAGACTAGAGATTGAATGTTCTGGACTAAGAGCGCCGTTTGATCTTCTAGATATATCTGCGAAGAGTGTCATTAGCATAAGTCCCTGGAGGACGATTTAGTTCCATACCTTGAGGTCTTCAATATCACTATCTTGCGATCTGAGGCCAAACCCTGCCCCCATTGAAGCTGGCAGGGGACTTGGAGGACCACTTGGGGGACCTCGGGGCGCTTGTAGTGCCAGTGGAAGTGGCTTCGCGCCATTAACAGGCTCGACGCCATTAGTCATTGGACTTGAAGGATTTTCTCTAGGACTAGGTTCAGGTGCATTTAAAGTGTCCTTTATAGAATTCGTGGGAATGACAATTGACTCGCGAGGAGAATTGATTGGACTGTACATAGACGAATTGGTGCTAGCACGATTATTTCCTAGACCAAGGAATGGGCCAGGGACGTAGTCATCAAAGCTTTCCCTCGGTAAGTCCTCGCTTTGCCTGCTGAAACTGTCTAGACTTTGACGTGGCGAATCCATGCTTTGTTTGCTATTACTCTTTAGGGGATGAACGTTCTCGATTTGTGGTTGAGGGGCTTCTTGTTGTGGTGGAACATTCTCTTGCTTTGCTTCACGTGATGCGAAGAATCCAAAGAGGCCTCCAGTGGAAGGCTTGGTTGTTGCGGGCTTAGGTTCAGCTGCTGTTGCAGACTTGGATGAGAAAAGCCCTCCGATGGTAGAGGGTTGAGTTGATACAGGCGCAGGTACTACCAGATCATTTGAGACTAAAGTCTTGTCACCATTATCTTCTAGCTCTCCTGCAGGCGTAGGTCTGATCTTTACCGTCCGGACAAGCTCGACTACCGCCGTGGTAAGATGAGAAGCGGCTGCATCAAGCAATGAAACAGGCGAGAGTCCCTTGGCCCCAGCAAAATTCTTGGATGCGGTGATCAGATTATTTGCTGTCGCCGAGAGTCTAGACTTAAGCTTGGCCTGCTTCTGGGCTAATTCTGCACTACTTTGTGGTGCTTGATCGATATCTTGAGAGATTTGTCGCACATTGATAACTACATTCTTCATGTATTCAATCACCTTTTCGGGGTCGCTGGATCGTGCAATCTGTAAAAGCTCATCAATCGAAAGTTGAAACTTAGTAATATGGACATCCTTGATAAGACCACTCTCTGCCGTAAATCCAGTGTCTTTTGCATACTTGGCTGCATCTTGTATCGATAGTCCAATTGAAGATGCTCTCAAGGTGCGTAGCTGCGTCTTTGTTTTCGCATATCGATTTCTCCATTCCTTGACTTCGTCCTCTAGCTTGTTGACCATGGTCTCAAGTTGCTCCTCGCGTTCATAAGATGCAGTACTTCGTTCAGACAACATCCTCATTTCACGAAGGAACTCCTGGGCTTCACTTCGAACGTCCTCGGTAATTTCTTCTTGCTCTCTGAGCTCAGCTCTAAGCTCTTCGTTTTCCCGTTGCAGATCTGCGTCGCTGGACCCCATGCCTTTACCAGCGTCTACAAGAGCAATTTGAAGCTCTTCAATCTGAGTCTTTAGCTCTCTATCCGAGTTGGCTTGTGATTCCCGTGCTCGGTCAATCTCTGATTGTAGAGTGTCGTTGAGATTTTGTGCATCCGCAAGCTTGTTTTCAAGATCTATTCTAAGGTCTTCCCAATCCTTTCTTTCCGCGTCTGCCGATGCATCCCTTCCCCTTTGCTGATCCATAACAATATTAAGTTCATCATCCTTTCGTTTCAAGTCGTCTTCCATAGAATCAAGTCGTTCTTGAAGCTCTGCAATTTGGGATTGGTATTCATCGATAAGTTTCTTATCGGTCTGCAACGTTAGAATATAATTAGAGAGAGAAATAGGCGTTGATCTTACCTCTGAGCCCCCAATGCTTTTCTTACTCTCTCGATCTCTTGCAGCTCCCTCCAATCCGAAAGCATCCCCATCATCATCATCATTACCTTCAGGCCCGCTCTCATCATCTTCAACCATGGTACTCTTGTTCGGTACAATCGTGTTGCTTTGAAAAGTTTTTGGTGTCGGTCGGCCGTAATCATTGGGTGGTATACCCGGTGAAGGTGGGATACCCAAATTACCATTTGGACCATTTGGACCATTTGGCGGCGCCATCCTTGACCCATTGCGCGATTCACTTCTCTCACTTCTTCGTTCGCTTCTTATTGAATAGGGACCTATAGAGCTGGCGTCTGAAGGTCGGCGCATACGACTTGGGCCTCGAGGTGGCATATCTACAGGTGTGCCATTCCCATTCCTACTTGGGGGTCCTCTCGTAGATACAGGACTACCCATACGACTTCTATCACTAGCAGTGAATTGCGGAAACCTTCGCTCCAATTCATAAAACACATCTGTAGCTAAATCTCTAAATCTGGGCGGTGGTAGCGTAGACAACTTCTGGCGGGCCTGATTTCGTTTCGGGTGGAACGTGTTTTTCGGCAACAAGTACGGCGGAGGTCCTTGATCATTTCTCTGTCCAGTGGGAGTCCTTCTCCCTGCCTGCTGCCTTCGTAGAAGTTCATCAAATACATCGGTACTAAGTTCCTGAAATTGAACAGGAGACAACCGTAGCAACTTGTCTCGCGCTCTGTTGGGTCTAGGATTCCCCTTCTCATCTCTCAATGACGCTGCCAGGTATCGTTTCAATGAAACGTAGTGCTCTGATAGTAAGGCTTCGAATTGTTCATCTTTCTTATCCTGCCCACTTTCGCTTCCTGCGTATAACCCTGTGCCAATACTTGAACGACCAATGGAGCTTGGAGGAGATGGATTGCCAGGGCTGCCACCAGAAGGACCTCTAGATGGGAAATCTCCCCCATTCATTGTACCGTTTGATCCGCTCGATATCGGCGGTGAAGCAAGTTGTCCACGATTCATCTGGTAGGGCGAATCGTTATCGTCTTGATATTTTTCAATTCCTGACCATTCGTTGTTGCTTCCTATTGAAACTGGTGACAAAGGTCCATTGCGATTGTTCATCGTAAAGTCGCGGTTATGAGTGGAATGAGCAATCCTTTGGACTCGGAGAATCGATCAGCGCAACCCCTTCGATTGTTGAAAAACAAGAGCGAGACACCTCGAACGCTTGATAGCTGACGGTTAAGGTGCGAGAGAGTGATATATCGTGTTATGTGATCAACACATGCGATGCGGACAATTTCAGGCTGGAACAACTCAATAGTCTCCTTGAAACGAAGTGAATTGACGAGGTCGTTCGGTCAAAGCGAGATAGCGAAGCTGAAGGATTGGAAAATCGGGGCAATTGGAATGGTGGTATTTTGAGGAATGAATTCGTCTTGAAGTGGTAATGACTGTGTAACTGAATTGTTGTACAGCGACAATGAATTTACCTTGAGCAGGCAGGTAAGTAGGTAGACGAGGAGAACAAATAAACTCTGATATGACGTTTCTACAATTGATTCTAGAAATCGCAACTCATAGTTTAACTTTTTTGCAAGAAGAACAGAGAATTTTGTTTGTGCGTAAGAACGAACGAACGAACGTAAGTACCGTTCCAATTCGAATGCAGAAAGTAAAGTGGTGGAGGGATAGCTGGCTGGCTGGCTGGCTGTTTGGCTTGATGCAGAGAATATATCCTGGGGATTATTATTTTTCTCCAGTTGTCCCGCCAGTCAATCAAAATAGGTCCCAAAGTCTCAAAAGATACTTTTCTCTCCTGAATCTTGGGTTCACCAGGTTCAACAGGTTCACTTTCGCGTTTAGGCTAGTGGTAGCTGCCTTTTACGGAATTGAATGTGGTTGGTTTGATTTCCAGGAACGCCCGTCGCCCAGCTTCTAGGGGATTTATTAGATTGGGTCGTGGGCGGGTATTGATATGGAAGAGAAGGCCGACAAAGATTCGATACTACCTTACCTGTGTAGTCAGTCGATCGATAAGGAAATGGCTTGAAATTAGGGGAAATTGAGTTTTGGGATATTGATCAAATTGGTTCCATATGTGGAAAGCTTGAGATTGCATAGAACGCCAGGAAGAAGAATGATTTGTAACTTATTGTTAGTAGATACCTATATAGAGTAGGTAGAATTTCCATATTCCATAACCTTAGTTATGCTAAAATAGTATTTTCCCATCCACGAATAGCGGCGTCAACGTACGAATTATGTCATGGAGACGGTGATGCAAGACAATTCAAGGCGAGACAGAAATTCTAGGCAAAAGGCATCTCCCCAACTTCCCGCTCTACACTTCAGCTCATCACACCTCGATTGTTCAGACCATATTGACTCAGAGTACTGAGTAGCTACCGAGTAGTCCCTAGGTAGTTATGCAGTAGCTATATAGTACCGCTTCTCGAGTATACGATTATACGAGTGATTATACGAGATAGATATATTTATCACCTTGACATCATCATAAATCATCAACCTAAAACCATGTGATTACATCGTAAGTACCTAGGAAAGCAATGGCAATTCATCAAATGCGATGATGTATACCGACCGACCTCATATAGTCAGTCATACCTCCAAATCCCTAAACCAGGAAAATGAGAAAAGCAACCTCATTTCCCTCGCCAGCTCCAGCGATCACGAGCAAGGGGAACCCGCCATACGCGGCCTCTGCTTGGTCAATCCACGCAGTAAGGTTACCTTGTTCGGATTAACTTAATTTGTGCATATGTGAATATACGGAGTACAGCTTTTGGTGACCACTGACGAGATAGGTATGCACTCTGTAGATATTCCTAAAAATTGGAATCATAATGAATTCAAGTGTTCGTTTCTATCACTTTGCATTCCAGCTACATAGTGCAGACCTAAATATATACAATATCACACATTAATCCCAGTGTTCCCAGTGTTCCCAGTGTTCCCTCCCTTAAAACAACAAACCTCAAACCTGTCATACTCAGTCACAAGTACAAACCCAGAATTCCCCCGTGAAAAGAAAAGGATAGAGGAGAAGGCGTGTCGACTGGTTTCAAAAAAGGTCTCTGCGAAAATGTCGCTACATAGTATGTACATATCTAACATACCCGCTGATTCGACTTCGACTAATCCGAGTTCCAATCTTACAGCATACAGAGTAGAGTCCTTTTCTGCTTCTAGATTCATCCCTTCGTCCATAAATTCTAGACTATGGACTCTGGAGTAGAACTTTGAGAACTTCGTTAGCCTTTTGTCGTTTTCAATCATTGGCCCCCATACTCATCAATCTAATCCCAGCATATCAATTTCCTTGGCCTGTCTCTTTATTTCCCTTCAAGAACCGTTCAAGCACAGCCATGTTTTACTTATTAATTTCAACGGGTTCTGTGTCACCGGTCATTAGTATGTGAGTAGCTCATGCTAGGTACGAATCTGAACAATGCATTATGCGATTGCGAGTGATATCAAGTATTTTGCTCCTCTATCTTTATTTCTAAGAAGATGCCTCATTTATATCATATCCCCGCCCTGAACGCCACAAGAAATGGGTATACCCTCGTGATCTCAACGCCACTATAAGAAATTCGTAATGCAAGTGTTCAAAACCATGCCAATGTCCATACTGCTGGTAAATTTGGCCATCTTTCCTGCCACTCTCCGATTATTTCCGGTACTCTTTCATCAAAACCGGCCCTGCTATGGGCACTACCACTGTCAAACCCGGTAGGATTGAGTTCCCGTTCCTCGGCAGCAGCTTTGTTGAGGGAATCGGCAAGGTCAAGAATTCCCCTGCCGCCGACTAGAGCCTCTTCATGATTGTCTTTGATATCAACATTGATGACATGCACTGGACGATTCAATGGGGAGCCACGATTGAGGAGGTCATCCACGACAGCATCCCAGCATCTTTCTTCACAAGTAATAACAACGTCAACGACACCCCCTTCTACTCCCTCGGCACCTTGATCTGTATTATGCTGTAGTCTTGGAACACCGACCTGCCAATCTTGCCATCTCTCTGGCCCCCATTTTACTGATCTATTCCTCCCAAGCATATTCAAGATACCATTTGCGCGATAGAGACGCGGATCCTTAGATTCGAGTTCTTTATACATGCTATCATACGAAGTCTTGTTGAATTGGTAGACATTAGGTTGTGTTATGGAAGGTCCTGGTAATCTAACTAAAGAACCCGTTCCAAATGATATTACAGGGTAGTGAGCAGCAGCGAGACGTAGGTGTGATTCCATGGATCTGTGGGGGAATCATGTTAGATACAAACTAGAAGAAATATGAGATATGTTGAATGTACCTATTATTGTTGCTGGCACAAACAGTGCAGAATTTTAGTTTGAAGCCTCCCGAATCTACTCGTTCACCATTTGACGCGAACTGAGGTGTGCTACCGCCATTGGCAGTCGATACTGGAGCTTGAGACATGATCGAGGAGGAATTGTAGTTGTTGTAAAGTTGTTACAATCCCGATATTTGCGGGGATAGAAGAAGTTCGGCCACCTTTCGTCTCGACACGGGGTTCAAACTTCCAATGGTACCGAATTCAAGTTGTGGATATTACTGCAGAAGCTATGTTCAAAGTCAGCTACGTGTCAATAGACTACAATGTATGTGATCGTAAACAGATTGATGTTGAAGAGCATTCAGATATGTTAAGTTGCGTAAATAAAAATTGTGTCATCAGTTTTTAAATAAGACAGCTCCAATAATAGTAATCATCAGGTTGCTACAGTGGGATGAGGGAGGGAAGAAGAAAGAAGGGCAAAGAAGATATTGGCTCCTTTCAAGATATTGTACATACCACACATTTCAAGTTCTACTGTAGAGTTTCAAGTAGAGTGCGAATCGCAAGAGACATTGATTCAAGTCAAATCAAGAGTGCTGTTGACGATGGCGGTGTTGTATGATTGATTGCAATGTTGTGCATGTACAGCGCAAGACATTGAAGAGCTTGAAAGCTTATTAATAATGAAGCTAAGAAAACTTCTCGGTTAAAAGAGGGAAAAAGTAGCCAATGAAATTGAATTCTGTTGAATAGCTTTGATATCCTGCTTAGCTCTCACGGAGAGTAGCACATACAAGGTATATACCTAGGTATTGTCGCATCCAACAAGATTAACCAACTGAAAAGCACATGCTGATCAACTACTTGCAGCCTGTGGCACTTAGGTGCATGTTTACATCAATTTGGTGTTTTGTTCTCAACATATGATTGGTTCTGCTGCAAGTCTGAAACGTTGAAACGGAACTTGGGAAAACCCGATCATTACCTGTTACCTACTCTCTGGTGTTGGTGGGAATGGTAATGGCGTGTTACCGAAATAGAAATAGAAATAGAATAGAAATGGAAATTGTTCGGTCAAATCATCAACTGAAAAGCCCACTCCACTCAAATTGATCACACCCGAAACCGAAGAGAGCGCGTGTATTTTCATACGAACTGACTTGTAAGCCACCCACTCAACTCAACAACGAAATGGAAAGACTAGAAAGAGTGAGGGGTGAAGAGTGAGGAGTGAGAAGTGAGATGAGTGAGGAGTGAGGAGTGAGAAGTGAGATGAGTGAGGAGTGAGATGAGTGAAGAGTGAAGAGTGAAGAGTGAACACACATGTCTTGAAACTTCTATAATTTTTTTGGCTTTGCCCTTACCTACTTCTCTCTGTTATGATCAACTTTCCCATCTTCTTCCAGGTATTGTACTCCGTTCGATCTGCAGAGAGGTAGAATCGACTGTGTATGACTTATAATTATCACTCTAGTACAAACTTCAAACTTCTTCTTTTCCTTTCTTTTCTTTCTCCAAACTTTTCCGTCTTTTGGCTTTTATACTCTGGGGTAAATCCATCTGTATATCGTATAACTCTTTTGGTCCCCTGGGGATATCTGCCTCTCTATCTACCTGCCTACCTGTGTTCACGGTGCTACCGGTTTTCTCCATCTTACCAACCATACATCCCAGACTGCTATTTGCATTCATTCATTGCCTAATTTCCATGTCAAATACTCGAAGTGTGCGGGGTCCCTGGTCGAAATCCACCCAAGAGAATTTTGAAAAAGGACCTCGAGCCTTGAACCCTCGGCGCTTCGTAGACAACTCACGCAGCTTCAAAGGAACTTCGCCTTAGTCGTTTTGAACTCGAGAGCGTTAATTCAAAGCAAAGCATCACTTCGGCGCAAAGACTACTCTGTTGATTTGTGAATCTTCAAAGTCGATACTATCCTGCATCTGCAATTCCAGAGACTCTTTTCTTTGCTTCATTGTTTCGTTGGAGCCCTGTTGGTTTGTAATTGGATACCTTGAATGTTGAGGGAAAAGGTCTGACAATACGCACGAGCTTCCTCTGATCTTTTTTAACATTGAATCCGAACTCCAATCAACCAATACGCTCATACAAGTTCACAACTCACCTCAATTATTGACAAGCGCTATCAAGAGTTTGACATTCGTTCTCTCAGCATTTATCCTTTTGCGACTGCGCGCCTGCCGCGCTAGCACCAACTCGTTTGAACGACTATCTAACATTCCTAATATACATCGTCGACGATACCTTTCTCCGTCTCGTACTCGACATAATTGAAATCAAACTTGGGCTTGCTTTAAGCGCTAGGGCCATTAGATCCTCCTTTCAATCTCGAATCTTGAAGAACGACAAGTGCTGCGAAATATAACGGCAAGCTTGCTGGGCAAGTAATTGTTCATATTGGGCCCATTTGTCTGAATCAAAGCATACAATTTTGTCCTCAAAGCGCAGCCTTCAAGCTGATCGCAAACACATTTGCTTCAATATGGCAGCCGTAATTTCTCCAACGTCTCCAGCTACGTCCCCACCACCAGTTAGTTCTCCCTCATCGAATCCTAACCATCCCTCCCTCCCTCCTTTAAACACTTCACCAACCGCAAAGCGACCAAATTTGCAACGTCCTACATCTCATGCCTCAAAGAATAGGTTATCACAATACTCGAATTATTCTGCGCCATCACGTTCGCGACCTCCTTCGCATATTTTTCCGGTCTTCCATTCTAGTCTTCCATACACGACGGTTCGCGATTTCGCATACCCTTCTTTGCATCCTATGCACTATGGACCACCTCTAGAGCCGTCTCAACCGCCATCGGGCCTCTCGACACCAGCTAGCGAATCGCATAAACGATTGTCAGATCCCCCAACTTCATGGGATAATCGCGGATCTTGGGGACCTGGTCCATGGGGTGGTGATGGATTTATGAAAGGGGAACAGTTGGCGCCTATACACTTTGGTGATGGACCTCCATGGAGTGAAGATGAGGATCTACAAAGTCCGGTTGTCGTTAGTTCACGCCACAGGAAGCACAAATCGTCAGTGGGAGAATATGGGCATTCGCGTGGGAGAGGGAGAACGCCCAGGGATGGAGAGCGCAGAACAAGCATGCTAAGTCAAGGGAACTTTGAGGACGACGGAGGATATTTTGCCGGTGGCAGTGGTGAAAATAGCGAAAGATATTATGTCAACCAAGGAGAGGAGTCGAATGGACCTGGGGGAGAATTTGTTACATACCCCTCAGAGTTGGCAAGACGCTCAATGCTAGCGCCGTATAATGTTCCTGGTCAACGAGATTCTCACTTCGCTGGCCTTTTGCCTAGTCGCTCATATACAGACGAGAGTGGCCAAGATTACCGCTCAGAGTCTGATGCTTCAAGTACTGCATCATCGCCCGGCATGACTAGACATGATGAATCGAGATATTCTCGCGATTATCAGTTTACAATTGCCTCGCCGGACGAAGAAATGCATGGTAAAGCCGTTGCATTATTTGATTTTGAACGAGAGAATGAAAATGAACTGCCTTTAGTGGAGGGACAAGTAATCTGGGTCTCATATCGACACGGCCAAGGCTGGCTTGTCGCAGAAGATCCAAAAACACAGGAAAGCGGTTTGGTTCCTGAAGAATATGTTAGGCTACTGAGAGATATCCAAGGAGGTTTAAACAGTTTAACAGGACAAGTTGAGCTTGCTAGTCCTGTGGGAGGTGACTCGGGTACACCCACTCAAGCAGAACATAATCAAGCATTCGGACACAACCCAAGTTCAAGTAATGGGAGCAATGGATATCAACAACCTGTAGTATCTACATTCTCGACATCCTCTAAAGATTTACACCCATACCCTCAACATCTTCTGGGAACACAGGCTGGTCAAGCTCCACCTCAAGTTATACATTATCATGGGCAACGAGGTGGCAGTCAAGCCAATACGCCAACTATACCTAGCTCTCATGAGGGTCTCATAGAAAGACCTAGTAGTCGAGAAGCTAAAAATGGGCAGCTTGAAGAGCATTCGAGTAGTAATACAGCATCTATTGAATCCACTCATATAGATTCGGAAGTAAAGCTCTCACCATCCGTCGCCGTTCAAA